AATATTTTCGAATCAATTCTAGCCAAAACGCCCGTTTTCATCTGCATTCAGAATTCAACTTGTATGTGAGTTAGGGTAGGGATCCCATAATTTTAGAAAACACTTCTCTCTATAGTAGTGCACAGAATACACTTCTCCCTGTAGTATGTCACGCATAGTTTTTTACTGGTTTTGACGGTAAATAAGCAAATATTATAAATAAATATAATTAATACTACAAATAGTCAGGATGCATGTGCTAGAGTAATACAGGCAGCCAGAGAAACCAAGTGTATCAAGTCAAGGCACCTTATATGTGTGATCAATAGAGAAAACAAGCCTATTTTTATATAGCTGTGATAAGTAACACTTAACGATTTCTGAAAATCATTTATGTATATCATTTATATCATATTAACGTAAGGAATCGAATTATCGACTAATATGCGTATCGTCAGATACAATATCGGGTCAGGCCTCTTAATGATGTTCATTGCTATACATTAATTTTTTAAAGGTATTTTCAAAGATGTACTATATGTAAATGCATTGCAACTTTAAATTTAGATAAAATACTTAAACCGAAAAGACTTCCTAAATTCCGTCCGTGGTTTAAAATGGGACAGGACTGTTCGTTACAATGATTCTTTCTTGCTCCTCTAAACACTGAATTTCCTTGAGCTGTTATAACCCTTATAAAGTGTTGTAAAGGGGCACGTGCAATTTATGTGTGTAGAATTAAAGTCAAAATTAAAAGCACAGAAATGTAGGTAATCCAACAGAAGACGCAGATTTATGATGAGAGATAATGAAACACTTCTACACAACTTACCCAAACCACTTTCGAGAAAAACAGATATTAAAAGGAGAGAGAGGCTTTATGCCAATACTTAAATATTTGAAATATGCTTTTTTAAAATACGCATTTTATTACCGAATGAGATTCAGTAAATATGCACTTTTAATATGGAAATTATATTTAACATATATTCATTTCTTGTAATACATGCTTTTTCTTGATAAATTCAAGGAATACTTAGAATGAAGAGGTATATTTTTTTTATGTTACCTAGCATAACTTCGGCGGGGAGAAATAATTGAAGTAATATGAACTTTAGTGAAGTACGTTGTATCTGTTCTTTCAATTTTTCTGTCTGGTTTAAAACAAACATAATATCAAAAATATCCCTACATTTGCTTAGTACGTGTTATCATCCTTCGGAAAATAAAGAAAAAAAGCAAATTCTTGACACAAGTTCCTTCTATTCAAATGAACGCTCACAAATAAATATATTTCCAAGAAAAAGGGAAACGTTTTAGAGATAAGTTCTTATATTATAATGAATATGCCTAAATATGCTCCTACAATTACACGAATGTACACGCAACAGGAAAAAATCAGCAAATATGCACACAACATTAAACCTTACAATAGCATCCAGTCTAACCAATGTCTAGACATTATTCACTTAGCTATGCCTGAACCGGACATAAATAAGGCAAAAAATCATAGAACTCCACTCCTTAATTATTATCATCGGCCGTAGTATGGAAGGACTGCATGTGTCGGGCGAAAGCTTTCTCTGATTGATTGTTGGTGATTCCCCGGACGCGTCAACTGCTAAAGGTCATTAAGTGTCCGTAAGTGGTAGTGCATGTTTTGCCTGAGGGTCGCAGTGAGCCCCACCGATGACGAGATCCGGCCCGCGGCACATACGTGGTCAGCTTGCCGGGATTTTTCCCAACCAAGTTTCTCTCAGAAAGGCGGGGCACCGCCTAGCCGGGACAAGCTCTCTGCCGACATCTGTAAGTAGCATACGAGCATATAAGTGTGTGGTGTGCTGTGTGTGGTGTGTGTTGTGTGTGTAAGTAAGGCGGTGAGTATACAAACAAGAAAGAGGGAGGAAAGATGCGTGTGCAGTCCATGCCCCGTTTGTTAGGATACTGCTCCGACATTGGGTTTGGTGTTGACGCGGAAGAAAATCACGGAAACTACTGATCAAAGCAGGCCGGCCGCTAGATTTCCTCCTCCAGACAGCGCCTGAATTCGAGAGAGCTGCTGTGAAATATCCGTTGGGCGGAACGCCTAGGAAATTCCGTCAGTGGCACTGCACAGACTCAAGTTGATACCCCGGCGAGGCTATCGTGCGATGGGAGTTTGCCCAGAATGCAGGCTGAACCGCCCGAAGGGAGGAGGAAGCGAAACCTTCTATTCCTGTGCGCTGCCTCCTCCCGCTTCTTGTTTATTTTCGCGATTGCGGGGCAGGGCGCAGGCGCGGGCGGCGGGGGCGCGGGAGTCGCCTCGCCCCCCCTCCCCCCCTCACCCCACCGCCACGGTTTTGCGCTGCACCCGCCCTCGCCGCGCCCGCCGGCTGGCCGCTGGTTCGCACTGCCGCGCGCGCCGCGCGCCGCCTCCGCGCCGCGACGTCAGCGCGAACGCTGGGCGCAGCGGAGGCCCGGACCGTGGCGCTCGCCGCTCGCACTTCAATACTTTGCGTCCGCGAGCCGGGCGGGTGGGACGCGCGCCATTTATTCGCACTTTCGACGCGTTTACCACATCGGGTTCATCCCTTCCTCCCCCTTCGCCTCACCTCCTTCTCCGCTCCGCAACTGCCGCGAGCCCGACTTATTTGCAGGCCCTAGTTTTTTTGTAATTCAAGAAGACTGAAATGACAGCTATTTTTATCTCTAATACACATTTAACAGGTATAAGTGATTGCTGATGCATGAAGAAACTAATTATGTTAATGAATTGGAGAGGAATGGAATTTTTTTTATTGATAAGAGGCCCCCATGTGAATAACTGGTCGCCAAAGCCCTGGTTTCCTTCTGGCGCTCACCAAGCTCACATGTCGATGGTTCGTTCATTAATATATTATAATATAATTTTTATACGCAGTCGGGGGGGGCTTTTGAGATTTTCCGACCGCGGAGGTGCTCCGCTGGGAGAGATACTGGAGAGGAAATCACCGCCAGCCGAGGTGTAATGTCGACGCAAGATCTCACTTGCGTGGGAAAGATCACCGCCACCTTTCCGTAGCTGACGCGACTCTAAACACGAGGTACTCACTAGCTAAGATCATTAGCCTCCGTAAGTGTAGGTGCATTGTTGCATCCCGGTATGTTGGCGGTATTCCTCCCCGCTGCAACGTTAGATCGGTGCCAACCTTCATATATATCAGACTGGAAGCGATTTACGTATCACAGGACTTGGCAGAGGGGCGAAAGAAGAACACTTTGTGGCCAATTTTGAAATGAAATCGGGCGATCAGCCGACGCACTTGGCAGTGGGGGGAGAAGAGGCTTTCGCCTGCGACCGACAAAGACTAAAGGAGCGAGCAGACAATGGCGGAGGGTGGAAACCCCAAGAAGAATTAAAGTGTATAGCCACGTCGGCATGGACCCGACCAAGAGGAGGTAACACGGTAGAAGTGTAGAGTCATTCCACAAAGGTTTACCGAACAAAGTAACGGACCAAATTAGATTAGAATTGATTGATTGTTTTAGTGATTGCGACATCAATAACTGTCATAAATCCCTTAAGTGTAATGCGGTGTTACGGTATTACTCCGTCATTAACCTTAGTCGGAGAAACCACGGAAAAGTCAGCGATTTTTGAGCAAGCCGGGCCGCTAGATTCCTCCTCCAGATACAAGCGACTGAAATTCGACCTGACAAGCTATCGTGATAGACCGTCATAGTAATATGCGTCGCTTGGCGGCACAACCGCAGTTTGACGTGGGATGCGCGCGACCAGGGCGTCAAAACTTGCACGGCGGCGGCGTACCTGGGGCAAGGAAACGGGAACTGTAGGTTCAACTGACCCGCGCGCCATCCCCACCTACAAAGGCGCGCATTGGTGCAGAGGAAGTACCCCATTCTTCCGCCTCCCGTCAAACTTGAATTTCAATGAAAGTCCTACTCTCCCGTAGTCCTGCCCAAAAGGGGCGAATAAAGTGTATTTCCAATGATATATAATATATATATATATATATATATTATATAGTATAATATATATATATATAATATACACTTTATGTGCTTTTTTTATAGTTTAATAGGTAACTTAATAAAGCAAAATAGTTGGCTGTAACTTATGAACGCTACGCTCGCCTTCTCTGGCCGGTTCCGACGTGCAGCAAAAGGCTTGTCTTAACTAGTGACAAAGATTCGCGTTGCCAAATTACCAACAACAAGAGCAGCTGTTTCTAGGCATGGGTTAAGAGAATAAATTCTGTCTCAGGCTCTCTCCATCATTTCTCTCTCCTCTCTCTCTCTCTCTCGTACTCTCTCTCGTCTCTCTCTCTCTCCTCCTCCTCCTCCCTCCGATCCTTTCCCCTTTCCCCCCGTTTCCCTCCACACACACATATAGAATCATAAAAAGAGGAATACAATTATTGCCATTTGTTAATATTTTCATAGTAGTTTGACTATAATAATACTTCCGTAGTTCAATTATGTGATTTCCAATTAAACCGGACAATATTTCTTTTAGTAGCTCTTGGCACTGTTGCTTTTAATGGCATAGGCGAACCTCGCGGCGCCGCGCCTAGCGTGGCGGGGGGGGGAACAGGGGTTGGCAGTGAGGTATAGTGCAAAACAGCAATCTGTTGTCCTTGACTAGAAGGACATAATGAACAGCACCACTATTAAATTATTAAAATGAAACATGAAAAAATGCCCTTGATTAATTAATGATTTGAATCGAACTTTTTTCTCCACCAGTCTGCCAATTTTCAAAGCATCTTATCAATTGAAATGAACAATATAAAGAAATTGGTAGTTCAAGGAAGATACATACAAAGATAATTTTCAACTTAAGCAAGAAGAGAGCTTGGGTGTCTAGGGGCTGTGAGAAACAAACAGCATTTTTTGGAACATTTCAATACAAGCGATGGGGACGGTAGTTTTGAAATATTGTCAGCTACAAGATCTCCAGATATTTTATCAATTTTAGTGCAATCTCACATTTCATAATCGGCCCCGTTTGTAAATTCTATTTTTATGGATTATGCACTAACTATCGTATAAAGTGACCGAATTGCCATCAGTGTATCTGAATGATAGTACCCTGGAGTATCCCTGAGTCTCAGACTCCTGGATCAATAACTAAAACTTTGTTATTTTCGTTTGAACTACTGCGAAATGGGTCAATTTATTTCAGCCACTAGGGCTTTTTCGCAACTGTGCAGAGAAGCCCGGGGTGTAAATTGGAGATAAACCGTCGAAATTCAGGTCCTAATCCCGAACTTGAAGGTCTCTCCAGAGGGCTTGGCCCGCTTTTGATGAAATGGGGCGAATAACGAAAAGAACACGAAGTTTGGACAAGCGAAGTTGGTCATATCTCAACATGCGAAGGGTATAAATGAGAAACGCAAATAAGTCATCGCTGCAGCGGTAGGGTCTGCAGAGCAGAAATGGCGACGTTCCGCGCAGGGACCTCCTGGGAGGAAGCAATCTTCCTCCAACGAGCTGAAAATGGTCGCTCAGGCCAACTAGGAAACAACTAGCTAGGAAAAGGAATCCACCAACCTTTCCAACTCAGCATAAGAAACTTAACGCAGCGATTCTCAACCACCTTAGCTCCACGACCCCTTTTCTTCTTTCTTTCTTCTTGTTTTCTTTGCTGTTCTTCTTGTTCTTCTTGTTTCTTCTGTTCTTCTTGTTCTTACTTGTTCTTGTTTCTTCTTTGTTCTTCTTAGTTCTTACTTGTTCTTCTTGTTCTTCTTGTTCTTCTTGTTCTTTCTGTTTCTTCTTGTTCTTCTTGTTTCCCCGTTCTCCGCCCCCGTCTCGCGCCCGTTATCCCCCCGTTCTCCCGTTCTCCCCGTTCTCCCGTCTCCCCCGTTTTCTCGATTCTCGCCCCGTTCTCCCCGTTCCTCCCCGTTCTCCCCGTTCTGCCGCGTTCTCCCCGTTTTCTCCTCCCGTTCTCCCCGTTCTTTTCCCGGGGGGGGTTTTCCCCCCCCGTTCTGCCCCCGTTCTCCGCCGTTCTCCCCGTTTCTCACCCGTTCTCCACCCGTTCTTCCCGGTTTCCCCCGTTCTCTCCCGTTCTTCCTCGTTCTCCTCGTTCCTCGTCTCCTCGTTCTCCTCGTTCTCGCCTCGTTCTCCTCGTTCCTCCTCGTTTCTCCTCGTTCTCCTCGTTCTCCTCGTTCTCTCGTTCTCCTCGTTCTCCCTCGTTTCTCCTCGTTCTGCGAACTCGTTCTCCTCGTTTCTCCTCGTTCTCCTCGTTCTCCTCGTTCTCCTCGTTCTCCTCGTTCTCCTCGTTCTGCCGTCGTTCTCCTCGTTCTGCCTCGTTCTCCTCGTTCCAACTCGTTCTGCCCTCGTTCTCCTCGTTCTCCTCGTTCTCCTTTCGGTTCTCCTCGTTCTCACCGTTCTCCTCGTTCTCCTCGTTTCCTCGTTCTCGCTCGTTCTCTCTCGTTCTCCCCTGCGTTCTCCCTCGTTCTCACTCGTTCCCTCGTTCCTCCTCGTTCCTCCTCGTTCTCCTCGTTCTCCTCGGTTCTCCTCCGTTCTGCCTCTCGTTCTCCCGTCTCACTCGTTCTTCCTCGTTCTCCTCGTTCTCCTCGTTCTCGTTCTCCCTCGTTCTCTCTCGTTCTCGCTCGTTCTCCGTCTCGTTGCTCCTCGTTCTCCCCTCGTTCTCCTCCCGTCTCCCGCCGTTCTCCTCGTTTCCTCGTTTCTCCTCGTTCTCCTCGTTCTCGCTCGTTCTCCTCGTTCTCCTCGTTCTCCTCGTTCTCTCTCGTTGCTCCTCGTTCTCCCTCCGTTTCCCTCGTCTCCCCTCGTTCTCACTCGTTCCACTCTTCTCCCTCGTTCCCTCGTTCTCCTCGTCTCGCCTCGTTCTCCTCGTTCTCCTCGTTTCCACTCGTTCTGCCTCGTTCTCCTCGTTCTCCTCGGTTCTCCTCGTTCTCACTCGTTCTTCCTCGTTCTCGCTCGTTCTCCCTCGTTTCTCCTCGTTCTCGCTTCGTTCTCCTCGTTCTCCTCGTTCTCTCGTTCTTCACTCGTTCTCCTCGTTTCCTCATCTCGTTCTCCCTAGTTCTTCCTCGTTCTCCTCGTTCTCGACGTCGTCTCCTCGTTCTCCTCTGTTCTCCTCGTTCTCCTCGTTCTCCTCGTTCTCCTCGTTCTCCTCGTTCTCCTCGTTCAATCATCTCGTTCTCCTCGTTCTCCTCGTTTCCTGTTCTCACCTCGTTATTCCTCGTTCTCGCTCGTTCTCGCTCGTTCTCCTCGGTTCTCACTCGTTCTCCTCGTTCCCTCGTTCTCCTCGTTCTCGCTCGTTCTCCTCGTTTCCTCGTTCCTCCTCGTTCTCCTCGTTCTTCCTCGTTCTCACTCTTCTCCTCGTTCTCGCTCTGTTCTCCCTCGTTCTCTTCGTTCTCACTTCGTTCTCGCTCGTTCTCCTCGTTCATCCTCGTTCTCTCGTTCTCCCTCGTTCTCCTCGTTTCTCCTCGTTCTTCCCTCGGTTTCTCTCCCGTTCTCACTCGTGTCCCTCGTTCTCCCTCGTTCTCCTCGTTCTCTCCCGTTTCTCCTCGTTCTCCTCGTTCTCCTCGTTTCCTCGTTTCTCTGCCTCGTCCCTCGTTCTCACTGTTCTCCTCGTTCTCCGCGTTTCCTCGTTCTCCTCGTTCTCACTCGTTCTCGCTCGTTCTCGCTCGTTCTCCTCGTTCTTCTGCGTTCTCCTCGTTCTCCTCGTCTTCTCGTTCTCCCTCGTTCCTCCTTCGTTCTCCTCGTTCTCACTCGTTCTCCTCGTTTCACTCGTTCTCCTCGTTCTCCTCGTTCTCGCACTCGTTTCCTCGTTCTCCTTCGTTCTCCTCGTTCTCCTCGTTCTTCCTCGTTCTCCTCGTTTCCTCGTTGCTCGCTCGTTCTCGCTCGTTCTCCTCGTTCTCCTCGTTCTCTCTCGTTCTGCCTCGTCTCCATCGTTCTCACTCGTTCTCCACTCGTTTTCCTTCGTTTTTCGAAAACCTTCATTTGGAAGGCAATTAATGAATATTAAACTCATAAATACTATAGTGGTTTAACAAATTCTTCAAATGTGCATAATACACAGGCGTGAGAGATCTTTCAAAAAATTACATTTGGTGCCTCTTTTGAAAAAACTAAAAACATTCTCCGAAATGAAACTTTACGTCATATTAAAGAGTGCAATTACGCTCTATCAATTCGAAAATGTTTGAAGAGAAATTTGGACCTTTTTTAAAGAAAATGGCGTTTGGTGCGTTTCTGAAAATGCGTAGTTTTTTTGACTACTTTTGACTAAAAAACAGTAAAATTTTTCGAGAAACGTTTATATGACATTAATTTAAAGCATATGTAATAAAACAATATTGTGAACAAATTGCCGCTAATATAAATATAACATGAGATACAAGTAAACAATTACTAAAAAACATTTTTTGAAAAAGCAAAAGAATAGTAGCATTATGGGGTTTATTTTATCTTGGTAGAGAGCATTTAGCGCTATCCTATTTCCAAGTTTAAAGAAAGAAATTGGAGCCGTTTCAGAGAAAAGACATGTTATTGGCAATTTTTTAAATAGCACAGATTGGCCGCGCATATTGCTCGAAACTACTAAACTACTAATAATTAATTAATTAGTTAATCAAACGTTCGTTTTGGGTATGCGAAGGGCTCAATTATCCTGACTTCCAACATTGGGATATTCTGAACCGGCACCAGAGGTTTCTTTGCCAGGAAGGTGATGTAAGAAAGGATCAGTTGTAGCGTCACGGCGTGGCAGCAAGCCGAGTGCAAGGTAGAGGGCTGGGGATCTAAAGATAGAACAAAGAAGGGACCTTCCGACAGGAATGGTCCGCGGGCCAGGCAGCGCCAAGGGAAAGGCTTTCCACCGCGCGGGGTGGGGAGTAACAGTGACGTAGGAGGTCAGGTGACCTGACCTATAAAGACGCCGGTGGCAAGACGGCGCGAGTGGGTAACGTTTCGGTTTCCTCGTGGCTAGAACGCAACACAACTTTGTACGGCCCAGGCTGGTGGCCGGAGTGCCGAGGCACGTGGTTGTTCGACGAGTTCGGAACAGGGTGAATGTGTTCTTCAAACACTTCGGGCAGATTCGTCCAATCTGCCGGGGCGGGCACCAGGTGCCAATCTACGGACGCGGCCTTGCTGGCCGGTCGTAGGCGTCGCCGCAAGGCGCATGTAGGGAGAGGAGGCTGCAGTGGTAGTCTCTGGAAACCGCCTTAGAGTGAGGGTTTGTAAATATGTACAGTATGTAATAAAAACTTGTATATAACTCACTCGTGTCTTGTTCCTGTGGTATAGATCCCTACACACGACGTTACACAGTTAATTCAAAGAACTGAAGGACGTTAGGTCACATTCATATCCTCCGTCGCACGAAAAGAAATGAAACTGAAATGGAGCGAGCTTCCTTGTCAGCGGTCGCGGTTTGTTTCATTACTCCGGTAATCCACCCCGCCTCCGATTTCGAGAATTGCAGCTCTGGCGCAAGTCATGTCGCGCGATTGCCGTTTGCATAAATTTATATTTTAACTAGTGAAAATTCGGTGTAATATATTCTTACGTGCTCTCTTAATACTAAAAGTTCTCTCTAAAAAAGAGTAAATTACGAAAATTGCTATTAAATCGGTCGTTGGGAGGGATGGTCGTGTAATAGAGATGGTCTTTGTAGAGGGCTTTCACTGTATATTAGCTTGTATCGTATATAGAATTATTATATGAAAGAAGTACCTTTTATATGAACTACTCCAGATGTAAACAAAATACAGTCGGCTTCAGTTATAATGAACCCTCTGTTACAGTGAACCTACGTCATTGGCCATGTTTCACTTACATTACAAATAAGCATAAGAATATTCGGTTGTAGATTTATAGTGCTTACTAAACTAATATAAAATGTAATAAATAAAATATAATGAACGTAGGGAATACGCCCTGGACACTAATTCCCTACCTACCGGTTCCAAGTTTCAACAAAAGATTAGTCATTCCGATGAGCTGAGTTACAGTATGTGTTTGTGTGCGCCTTTCGTGTTGGTAATGGAACGTGGGCCCGCCACAGGCAACAGTGTACCTCTGATACAGTGAACCAAAAATGTTAGTCCAATACCAGGCAGCTTGGCCAGAAGTCCCCAGAAGTTCATTATAATCGGAGTCGACTGTAATATTCAATTTACCTCTTTTGCTAATAGTGACAAATAAATTTTGAGTTTCCTGCCTTTTGAAATTACTCTGATTTTTATTCTGAAAATTCTAATTGTTAAAAGGTTCGCGTTGCTGAGTATTGCCACTGAAACTCAGCACTTAATGTCAATATTCCGAAAATGGAATGTTGGAACACCCAAAAGAAACTTTTAAGATTCGAACTGGAAAAAAATTAGGACTTGTCCCATTTCTACTGCATTCCCTAATCAAGCCACCCCACTTTGACGTTTCGAAATTTGAGTCTGGTCCTTTAGAACCTCAGTCACTTTCAGAAGCAGGTCAAGCGTTCCATTTTATCTCACGTTTATCCCAAGAGTTAATCAGATACTTCATTGTCGTCATATCTAAAGTGGCTTGCGCTAAGAAGAGTTAATCCACATTATTTTTAGGGATTATTTAGTAGAAGGTTCAGCTACCTGCGGACCACAACCATGTTTTGTTGATGCGTTTTTTGAGTGAAGCTGAACTCGTGTAGTAATTCATCACCATCGACAACAAACTCTTGATCTGTTCCGTTTCGAAATTGTTCATGCCAACTCTTCAAGGGACGTCCTACACTTCTTTTTCCTTTCGGTGCGCATTGAAGAATAACTTTACTTATCCCATGTTCTGGCATTCTCAGAAGATGACCTTTCCAGTTTTCTCGATATTTATGATATATAAATTATAATAGACTAGATATTTAATACTTCTATAATATCTACATTTTCTTTGTGGTTTAATAGTGAATATCCTGCCACAAAACGAAGAAATCTCATTTCTGCAGATTCAATTCTACTCAGCGGATCTGATGTAAATGTCCAGCTCTCGCTTTCATAAAGCAGCAATGGCAAGGCAATAACTTTGTAGAATCTAAGTAGTTTCTTTTTGCACATTATGCTTTAGAGTTCGTTCTAACTTTCCCCGGAAGTATGTGAAGTATGTGTTTAGTTTTATTTCCGTATCTCTTGATATAATATAATGAAAATTATATCCAAGATATTTAAATTCATTCATTTGTTAAATTATTTGGCCATATGTAACAATATTTGCTCTTAAAGGCTCAAGTCCTTGAAGTGACATTACTTTTGTTTTATTTAGTCTGATTTTCATACCATATTCATTAGCAATTTGGTGTAGTAAATCTGATTCGTTACCTAACCTACTGTGATATTTACTCCTTTGGTGTCATTGTATATTATATGCACATTATATGCATATTATATTCATATAATTTGCATATAATATAATGTAAATGCTTAATGTGAAGGATATAATGAAATATGATTATGTCTTCAGTCTATAAGAAATGATGTGACAAATCAGTCGTCAGAGACACGCCTTCAGATTCAAGGATTAGAGGAAAATCTTGATAAACTTGAAATCGTTTTTCTCTCCAAATATTGTGGATTTAAATCCTCAGTAGATTTAACGTAGCAAGTAAACTAATGCAAAGTGAAAAATTAAAGCAGTTAAGATGCTCTTGCAGTTAAGATGCTGAAATCATTTACAGTATTTATTAGGGAGAAGAGAGATGATTTTGACGACTATGAGTCCAAATCAAAAGTGCAATCCGTTGAGAAAGAATATAATACACAAAGTCGTCAAATACAACTTAGCTCCATTTTTGAATTTGCAGATAGTGGATGTAGTAAAGAGGAACTTCTGAAAAGAGAAAAGTTCAGAGTGGAGGCATTCCTACCAATAATAGACACTCTGGTTTCTAGTCTAGAACTCCGAAGTAAGCATACGTAGACATTGTTGATAGGTTTTATTTCTTGAAAAGTCTGCATGAGTTACAGAAATTTCAAAATATTGCGAAAACCTTGCAAATTTTATAGTGGAGGTTTGAGCAGATCTAATATCTAAATATCACCATTTTGCTGCATATCTAAAACCAAGTAAAAAATATTTCCAAGAATATACTGGAGATAATGCAAAAACGATCAATATTCAAAACTTGTACAACTACATGAATAATGAGAATATTTCTTAAGCATTCCCCAATATGGAAATTGCTAAGAGAATTGTCCTCACTTTCTTCATGACCAAGGCATCTGGAGAACGTTCGTTTCCCAAGTTGAAGATAAAAAAAGATGAGTTACGAAATTGCATGGCATAACCACATTAAAGAATTTAAGTTTGATAAGTAGTGAACATGAAATTTTGGCAGAAAGTGATTTTGAAGACACAATTCACGATTTTGCCTCCTTTAAGGGCAGAAAAGGTATTCAGTAAAGAACATTAATAATAATTAATAAAGGAAGAGTGGAGTGGTAATAATCATAAATACAAGTAGGTAGTTTTATAATAATAATTTTTATATATATATATATATATATATATAATTATTATTATTATTATTATTATTATTATTATTATTATTAATGATATTCTTCCTCTAATTCAAGGCTAAAGATATTGAGTCGTTTTATGATAAAATGTATTCCGAATTGCAACCAGCTTCCTAAGGAATAGATCTAGGGACTGTAGGTGCCTCAACAATACTTTGGGCAAAATGTGAGCTGTTCTCAGTAAAAGCAGTGACTTACACTTCCCAGTTTTTTGAATGACCTGGTCCAAGTTATTACACAATTTTTGCAGAACAAATCCAAGAGCTCCGAATGCTATCGGGACGACCTGTGCTTTTACGCTCCACATTCAGCTGATCTCGATTTCCAAACTCATGTTGTTAAGACGTTTCTCTGCCTCCTTGGTTAAGACGTTTTGATCGCACGGCACAGCAAAATCTGCAAGTACACACGTTTTTTCTCCAAATACCGGATAACAATATCCGTTTTGTTTGCCGCTATCGTACGTTCAGTTTGAATTTGTTGGTCGTACAAATTTGTAAACAATCGAACAGACGTCATCGGTTTTCGTTAGTGTTTCTACAACTTGGAGCATGTCTTTGGAACTTCGAGGGCGTTGTAGACCTGCTAGTGAAGGGAACTACACACCCTATCGTGTCTGTTGAAGTGTATGGTCTTTGTTTCAATTGAACAAGCTGGGACGACCTGATCAATTGTTTCTATTTGTTCCTGACAAATTCGGCATTTATCATCTTGGAAATTTTGAGACCCTCTTTATCATAATGTCGTGTTCTCAGGGTCTGATCTAAGGGCAGCTTTTAGAGCTACTTCCGATTCAGGCTTCATCGTTCCCCTTTTAGGCCGCTTGCCCACGCCGCGACAGAAGCGCGTGAATGTCAATCAGGGCTCTTCGCCCGTGGGCAAGCGGCCTTAAGGTACATAAATAATTGATCATTATTGATCTGTATCTTGTATATTCTTTTTAAAAATCGTGGTTTGTCTCTCCACGATTTCCTTAATATTTTTTGTATCACATTTCATGTTAAGTAGCATCAGAAGTTCAGAGCCTGT